TCCTACTTGTTTTGCTGGCTTGAATGTGGGCATGAGGAAGGGTCAGCATTTTTCTGTGGTGTGCAACTAGAGTGACCCATTGATTAGAGGCTATCTGTCTTGCAACACTGTTCCTTTGCTCATATTTAGAGAATCTTAGGATGGCTAGGAAACTAGGCTTTGTTGGGATTTGTCTGTACTTGTTGAAATTTCCAGTTTTATGGCTTTTTCATCTCCAACTATGAGATTTATGAGAAAAAAGACTATCTCTGGAATTCATTGTTTTTCCTAAGATTCCAAAGTCCCTAGCCAATCTGCTTTCCAGGTGTCCCCCTGGAAGTCTCCCTGTTTTGTGTATTGTGTCCAGGGCTTTTATTTCTACATAGGAGGCAGAATGTGAAAAAGCAGCTTTTCTAAATATTTCCAAAAGCCAAATTGTTACTGTGTATGCTCACAATTTTTTGTAATTTTCTAAAATATTCAAATTTTTTGCCTGAATATACCATTATGTTATTCACATGTATGAAAGCAAAGGTCTCAATGAGTTATGGTAACCAAAATATTCCCTTTTTTCCCAGAAACCTTTTATTTAAGGCATAAACACTTCATTCATTCCATAAATACAAATTTAGGAACATAGTGATTCTTCCCACCCTCATACCCCCGCACTCCCACCCTTCCTCCTCCTCCCTTTCATATTCTCATTCTTATTTTTTACTAAGTTCTATTTTCAGTTACTTTATACACATAAGTAAAGAATTCAACAAATAGTATGAGAAAAAAAAAAAAAACTGTTCCTCAACAGTTTAGGCAAGGGCTGTTCAAAGTCATCGCATCTCAAAGTGTCAATTTCACTTCTATAGATTATCTTTAGGTACTTTATTTATTTATTTATTTATTTGACAGGTAGAGTTACAGACAGTGAGAGAGAGAGAGACAGAGAGAAAAGTCTTCCTTCCATTGGTTCACCCCCCCAAATGCCTGCCATGGCTGGAGCTGCATTAATCTGAAGCCAGGAGCCAGGTGCTTCCTCCCAGTCTCACAGTCTCCCATGGGCCAACCTCCACTGGCCTCTGGAGCTACAGCAGAGAGCTGGACTGGCAGATGAGCAACTGGGACTAGAACCAGGGCACATATGGGATGCCGGTGCCACAGGCTTAGCAAAGTGAACCACAGCATTGGCCACTGTCTTTAGGTATTCTACTAGTTACCACAGATCAGGGAGAACATACATTATTTGTTCTTTGGAGACTGGCTTATTCCACTAAATATAGTGTTTTCCAGTTGCATCCAATTTGTTGCAAATGACAAGATTTCAGTTTTTCTACTGCTGTGTAGTATTCCATGGTATACATATCCCATAATTTCTTTATCCAGTCTTCAGTTGACTGACTTTTGGGTTGATTCCATATCTTAGCTATTGTGATTTAAGCTGCAAAAACATGGAGGTACAAATAACTCTTTCATATGCTGAATCCATTTCCCTTGGGTAAATTCCCAAGAATGGGATGGCTGGGTCATATGGTATATTTGTATTCAGCTAGCTGAGGTATCTCCATATTGTCTTCCACAGTGGCTGTACCAGTTACATTACCACCAACAGTGGTTTAGGGTACCTTTTCCTCTCACATCCTCATCAGCATTTGTTGCTTGTTGATTTTTGTATGAAAGCCATTCTAACAGGAGTGAGGTAAAACCTTATTGTAGTTTTGATTTGCATTTCCGTGATAGAGATCCTGCACATGTTTTCATGTGTCTGTTGGCCATTTGGTTTTCCTCTTTTGAAAAATGCCTGTTTAAAGTTCTTTGCACATTTCTTAACTGGATTGTTGGTTTTGTTGTCATTGAGTTTCTTGAGTTCTTTATATATCTGAATATTAATCCTTTGTCAGTTGTGTAGCTTGCAAATAATACCTCCCATTTTGTTGGTTGCATCTTCACTTTGCTGAGTATTTCTTTTACAGTGCAGAGCTTTCAAATTTGATATAATCTATTTGTCAATTTAGGCTTTGATCTCCTGTACCTTTGGGGTCTTTTCCAAGAAGTCTTTGCCTATGCCAATATCTTGCAGGGTTTCCCCAATGTTCTCCAGTAATTTGATTATATTGGGTCATTGAATTAAGTCTTTTATCCATTTTGAATGGATTTTTGTGTAAAGCGTAAAGTAGGTGTCTTGCTTCATACTTCTTCATGAGGAGATCCAGTTTTCCCAGCACCATTTGTTGAAGAGAATCTCCTTGCTCCAGGGATTGATTTTAGCTCCATTGTCAAAGATAAGTTGGTTGTACATGTGTGGATTTATTTCTGGAGGTTTAATTCTGTTCTATTGGTCTGTCCATCTGTTTTTGTGCCAGTGGCTAGCAATTAGTCATTCAAGGTTATGTGAAACACTTATTAGTTATTTTTCAAGAAATCTGATGTCACAGAGTGACATCAACATGTTCTTGTTAATTTCAGACAGCAATAAATATTTTGAAAGGAAGTCTTTTTCATTTAAAACAGGAAAATTTGAAAAGCAGACATAATCTATTGAGTTGACGTGAAACCAGTTATAAGATAAAACACTATGTATAAAACCACTTTGCAGAAAAAAGTATCAAAATAACTAAGTTACTAGCTTAAATTTTAAATCCAACTGTGTTATTGTATGTTACTACTCACAAAGGTAGCAATATTCTGCTGGCGCCGTGGCTCACTAGGCTAATCCTCTGCCTGCGGCGCCAGCACCCTGGGTTCTAGTCCTGGTTGGGGCTCAGATTCTGTCCCGGTTGCTTCTCTTCCAGTCCAGCTCTCTGCTGTGGCTTGGGAGTACAGTGGAGGATGGCCCAAGTGCTTGGGCCCTGTACCTGCATGGGAAGACCAGGAGGAAGCACCTGGCTCCTGGCTTCGCATTGGCGCAGTGCACCGGCTGCAGCGCGCCAGCCGTAGCAGCCAATGGGGGGTGAACCAACAGAAGGATGACCTTTCTCTCTGTCTCTCTCTCTCACTGTCTAACTATGCCTGTCAAATAATTAATTTAAAAAAAGAAATATTCTTCATATTCAGTAAATATATAATCAAATATCTTCATTCCCAATGAGAAGGGAAGTCAATAAAAGGGAAAGTAAGACAAAAATAAAACATGAAAGATTGCCTTTAAACCAAAATCCTCATTTAAAAAAACTTTTATTTACGGATAAAAATTTTATGTATTTGTATATACAGATTCAACAACATAGTGATACATTGCACCATGCCCTTCCTCCTGCCCATTTTCCCAACCTTTTTCCTTATCTCTCTCCTATTTTCATTCTAATTTTTTACAAACATCTATTTTCAGTTAATTTTATACTCATAAGGTTAACTCTGCACTAACTAAAGAGTCCAACAAATAGCATGAAGGAAAAAAACCTCTGTTTAGCTTTCATATTTTTGAAAACACATTAATGGTAATATAAGTATTTAACAATCACCTGTTGCTATAAGTAGAACATATTCTCCCTATAATAAGAAATATGACACTTCTGTTTCTGATATATTTTTATAACAATAATTTAAGAAATAACTATAAAGACTTTTAAGACAGTACCTTTATTTCAGAAGATTTTTCAAAAGTGACACTAATCACTAAGTATCTCTTTGTAAATTGCTATTTACTGAATCCATATTCATTTGAAATTTAATGAACTGCCAAAGATGAATGAGTCTTTCAAGAAATTTTATGACTATATTTTATTTTTGGTATTGCTCTTGCTATATTTTGTTATTTTTCAAATGCATGGTTTTCTGAGAAATGCATAATGAATAACCAAAATATATATGTTTTCCAGGGATTGTGATGTTTTGACTGTCATATATCGTTACATATTCAAGTATATCTTTCCTTTTCAGCTTTCTTTAAAGTTTATCAACCAATTATCATCAGGAAGCATGTTTGAAAGGGTAAAAATTGGCTAGCCAAAGTTAATATATAAAAGGGTGACCAGAGAAGTTCAAAGATACCTATTAAAAATGCGTGCACCTGGAAAATATTCGTGTAATTTGGATCCCAGGTAAACAGACATAAATACTTCTTCAGCCGTGCATATTTAAAAGAGGTAGGACCCCTTAAAATTTAATCATGTCGCATGATACAGTTGGCTTTCAATTTGCCTTTAAGATTCCTGTTCTCTTAAGCATCACTTAGATCACTTGTAAAAAATTGAATTTCCATGAACTACTCATGAACTTCTTGATCTGAGACTTAGACCTGTTATTGTTGATCAGACACATTTGAAAAACAGTATACTATAGAAACTCAATTGAAACAATGATAATACTTATGGAAAACTTTTGAAACTCTCACAAAAACCCATGGTATCTTACTTTACTAAAAGCAGGAATAAAGTCTATAAGCCCATGAGAGTATTTCAGGCATGGAAAGCCAAGACACTCTGTCAAAAAAAAAAAAAATGACTTAAATGAAAGATCTCTGTGAGTGAGATCCCAGTGGAAAGAAAAGGCCATCAAAAAAGGAGGTACCTTTCTCTGAAGGGAGGAGAGAACTTCCACTTTGACTATGAGCTTGTCTAAATATGATCAGAGTTGGTGAACTCAAAAGGCTTCCATAGCCTTGGCAACTCATGACAAGAGCCTAGGGTGATTACTGATGTCATAAACAAGAGTGTCAATTTGTTAAGTCAACAACAGGAGTCACTGTGCACTTACTCCTCATGTAGGATCTCCGTCCTTAATGTGCTGTACATTGTGATTTAATGCTATAACCAGTACTCAAACAGTATTTTTCACTTTGTGTTTCTATGTGGGTGCAAACTGTTGAAATCTTTACTTAATATATACTAAACTGATCTTCTGTATATAAGGAGAATTGAAAATGAATCTTGATGTGAATGGAAGGGGAGAGGGAGTGGGAAAAGGTAGGGTTTCAGGTGGGAGGGAAGATATGGTGGGGGGAACCATTGTAATCCATAAGCTGTACTTTGGAAATTTATATTTATTAAATAAAAGTTAAAAAAAAAAACAAAAAAAAGTCTATGACTCACCTAATTGAGTAAAGAACATTTCCATTTTTGAAAATTCTTAGCAATTTGTTGTCTGTAGTGACTTCATGAAAGTTGGCACCCTTTTCATTGGCAAAGAACAAATCAGGTTTCCAAATGGAGTCCAACATGGAGGGGTCGAGATCTAAAGAATCATCAGGATATTCACTATATGCAAGGCGAGGATCATTCCATTTCTGACGGAGAAAGATATTCACTCTGTAATCCTATGATAAAAAGTAAGGCAGAAGGAAAAGGTTAGAATCTTATATGCATTCTTCTGGGTTCTTTGAACTATAACCGGCCACTGAAATATTTAGGCGCTTTCCAGACCCTACAATCCTCATTCATTACCACTTAACAGACACATTTCAGCTCTAAGATTTTTGCCCATGTCTCCAGTGACCTATATGCCTCCAAAGAAAAGACCATTGAAGGTCAAAATTTGTCATGTTTATCTTTTGCTCCTCATTCAAAATTTATGTTGTTGCTTTGTCTTCATACAATATTGTTACTAGACAGTTGGAGTAAAATATTTCACCTTTGAATTTGCTTTCTATAATCATGTTGTAGTTGATATCCGATAACATCTGGAATATGTTTAATGAAATTTTCTTGAATGCTATCTATGTTACAAAAAGTTACCATAAATGCTGTTTCTAACAATGAAAGCACATTTTCTTCTGTTTAATAAACCTTAAAACGAAGTTATGAGTTAGTAGAATATAGTAACCAAGAAACTTCAAAAATTCTTCCAATAATACAGACCAGTTAAAACTGTTTCTCTTACAGATAGGTAAAATTCAGAGATCATACTGAATGCTATAATTCTGTGTATCCCCTGAGTCAATGCTGTCCACTGAAATCACCATCTTCGTCTAACTGCAACCAGAGTTACATAGCAGACAATATTTTCTGAAGATGCCCTAAGTCTCTTTAAAGGTGATAACAGAGTAGAGCTCACATCAGCTTTTTATCAGAGAGTTCACGATAATGTGGAAATCTCACCAGTCAAGGATCTGTAGAAACTAAATGGGGATGCTTTCTCAAGCCAAGGTGAGGCCATCTTCTCTTACAAAATAGTTCAGAACACTATGAAGTTCAGCTCATGGTTGGTGGCCAGTTTTCGTTTCCTTTGCCATTTCACAGCATGTGCCCTAAATACCCCCAGAGGAATTTGTGACTGGGCTATAATCAGACTCTGCCTTATAGATAGGAGGAAGCTAATGAGGACAAGTTGTCAACATCCCTGCCAGGAAAGATAACTTACTCGTAGAGAATTTCCATTTGAACTACTTCATAAGATGTACAATAGAATTTTTTAAGTATTTTTAAGCCATAGCATTTTTTCTACCCCTGAACTGTATGTAATTGTTCCTTACACTTAGGCCAAAATAAAATACTTTCAAGCTGTAATATATAAAGCAAAATTTCATTGAATCTCTTTATTATTATGTTATTAATACTAGTAATAAACTTTATAGACACAATTTCAGATCTTCTAGGAACACTTTCGGCTCCAAAATTAAACTAACAAGACATTAAGCATCCTTCTGTTTTAGTTTATAAATCGTAAAATGAAAAATTTGTTTTTATCTCTCACCATGGTCAAAATGCTATCCTATATCCATTGTGGAGCTCCTTCTATAAAAAACGAGAAGTATCATGTTTCTTAACACATTTAGGTCTTTGTTTAAGGCTATCATTTAAAATAAGACTAGATAATGTACTGAAAACCTAGAAACTCAAATTTTAACAGTCTTCACAGTTTAGATTTTATTTGCCTGTAAATTAACAATGAGTAGGAAATATCCTTATTAAAGAATTATATTTAAAATTTCAAAAATAACTGTTTAAGACTCATTCAGTACTTGTGAACCCTGAACATTTTTGAAATTGTGCAAACAAAAGGGTGAACCCAGAATCTTTCCTGTTTTAAAGAGTCCTTATCAGAGATCCTGGTTAATTTCTAAATGATCAGAAAATAGCTTACCTTTGTCAAAGGAATAAGAACAAAGTTCAAACTCCCTAACACATGCCTTGCTAATTTTATTTTATAAGATTTCTCAATTCTGAAAAAGTGTACAACCTAAGTTCCATGCATCACAAAGAACAGAACACTAATTCTCCCTGGTGGAATAATTGTTTCTAACATCAGCTCTCTAATATCCCCTGTGTTGCCTGAACCATCTGCTCTATGAACCCTGCCACAGGGAGAGTGGTCATCTGGGGCCACTGATTCTGAAATAATTGCTCATTGGGGAAGTGCCTTTCAATTCTCAGTCTCTAACCCAACAGGGATGAAAGCCATTTTATAAAAACTATTTAGAAGCTTAGAAAGGTTACCTCAAGTTTCTCCCCAAGTTCTTCAGTATCCATATGTTTAGTTACTCTCTCAGAAAGAAGTAAAATTAGGCAGGCACCGCGGCTCACTTGGCTAATCCTCTGCCTGTGGCGCCGGCACCCCAGGTTATAGTCCCGGTTGGGGTGTGGGATTCTATCTCAGTTGCTCCTCTTCCAGTCCTGCTCTCTGATGTTGCCAGGGAGTGCAGTGGAGGATGGCCCAAGTGCTTGGGCCCTGCACCCGCATGGGAGACCAGGAGGAAGCACCTGGCTCCTGGCTTCGGATCTGTGCAGGGCGCCGGCCCTCGTGGCCATTTAGGGGGTGAACCAACAGAAGGAAGACCTTTCTTTCTGTCTCTCACTGTCTAACTCTGCTGTCAAAAATAAATAAATAAATAAAAATTAAAAATTAAAAAACAAAGAGGTAAAATTATTTTAAAATTACCAAAACTTTTCAAAAAAAAAAAAAAAACCAACTAATTATATCCCAGTCCTGTAAACAGAACTATGAAGGGTTGGTTACAACATAAAATATGTTCAATCAATGAAATAGCACTCTATTTTTCATTCAGTAACTTCTGGGTAAAAATAATATTGGGCTGGCGCCACGGCTTACTAGGCTAATCCTCTGCCTGCGGCGCTGGTACCCTGGGTTCTAGTCCCGGTTGGGGCGCCGGATTCTGTCCCCATTGCTCCTCTTCCAGTCCAGTTCTCTGCTGTGGCCTGGGAAGGCAGTGGAGGATGGCCCAAGTGCTTAGGCTCTACACCTACATGAGAGACCAGGAGGAAGCACCTGGCTCCTGGCTTTGGATGGGCACAACGTGACAGCCGTAGCAGCCATTTGGGGGGGTGAACCAACGGAAGGAAGACCCTTCTCTCTGTTCTCTCTCTCTCACTGTCTAACTCTGCCTGTCAAAAAATAATAACAATATTGAAAATTGTAATAGTAGATGTTAGAAATCAATATTCTGTTTAAACACTGCTCTATCCCTGTAATCCGATGTTAGAATTGCTAGAGAGGTCAACTTTGTTCATTGGAATAAAAGTTGGAGATTTCTTTCAACTAATATGTTTCATCTGATTTGGGAATGGTTGGCTTTCAAAGTAAGCACCTCTCAGAGCCAATACTTCCAGCAACTGGTCATTGTAAATGAAATGTGATTATCTATGTTGCTCTTCGATTGTAAAGTATCAAGGTCTTCACTGCCTTAAGGTGTTGCACAGCAACAAGACTTCATTCATCCAGCCATCCCTTCTGCCTCCCAAGCTCACTTCTTCCGTTCTTATTCCATTCCCATTTGTTTTCAAATTGTGTGCCTAAGTACTAGCCTTTAAAACTGGACTAGACCACCAGGTGAAATGTCCTCTCTCCTTCACAGCAAGTTGTGCAAACGAATCTATAGCCAGTAGAAAACAATCACACAACTTCTGCATCATTTTATTGTTCGCTTATCAGGACCTAAATTCCTACTCGTTCCATTTGCTGTAACCCCAAGTAGGAAGAGGAAGCTTGTATGTTTCCCCTGGTTTAGGGCAAGCACACAGGAAAATACTGTTTTGTTTTACGAACTGAAATTTACATCACAAATCCATTCATTCTATGATAGATCATACTCTCTTGTTTGATTTTATTGCTACTTAAAGTTAATCACACCAAAAGCTCAGGACCAGATGGCTTCACTGCTGAATTTTACCAGATTTAAAAGAAGAAATAACTCAAATTCTTTTCAAGCTATTCAGAATAATTGAAAGGAAAGGAGGGGCCCGCACTGTGGCACAGTGGGTTAATGCGCTGGCCTGAAGTGCCGGCATCTCATATGGGCACTGGTTCGAGACCCGGATGCTCTACTTCCTATCCAGCTCTCTGCTGTGGCCTGGGAAGGCAGTAGAAGATGGCCCAAGTCCTTGTGCCTCTGCACCCACATGGGAGACCTGGGAGAAGCTCCTGGCTCCTGGCTTCGGACCAACACAGCGTAGTCTGTGCAGCCAATTGGGGAGTGAACCAGCAGATGGAAGGCCTCTCTCTCTCTCTCTCTCTCTCTCTCAACCTCTCCTCTCTCTGGGTGACTCTGACTTTCAAATAATTAAATAAATCTTTTAAAAAAATTAAAAAAAGAAAGGAAAGGAATACTCTCAAACTCCTTCTATGATGCCAGCATCACATTAATTCAAAAACCAGAAAAAAATACAACAAACAGAACTATAGAAATCCCTGATGAATATAGATTCAGAAACCCTCAACAAAACACCAGCTAATCTAACCTAACAGCATATAAGAAAAATAAGTCACTCAGAAGAAGTGAGATTTATCCCTGTTATGCACAAATGTTTCAACATATGCAAATCAATAAATGTGAAACATCACATAAAATAAACAGAAGAACTAAAACCACATGATTATCTCAAAAGATGCAGAGAAAACACTTGATAAAATATAACATTCTTCCATGATAAAAATCCTCAAGCAAATTGAGTATACATGGAAAAGACAAACATAATCAAGGGACTGTGACATATCCACAACCAGCATCATATTTTCACTAAGATCTGGAATCAGACAAGTTTGCCCACTCTCATCATTCCTGTTCAATAAGTTCTATACATTTTAGCCAGAACCATTAAGAATGAAAAAAAAAAATCAAAGAGATATAAAGGAAGGGAGGAAGTCAAGTATCCCTCTTTGCAGATGACATGATCCCATATATGCAGAAACCAAAAGACTCCACTGAGAGACTACTGGAACTCATAAGAGAGTTTGGTAAAATTTGCAGGTTATAAAACCAACAGCAACAATCAGTAGCCTTTGAATACACAGACAATGCCATGACTGAGAAAGAACCTGAAAGTCAGTACCATTCACAATAGCTACAAGTAAATTTAAATA